AGATGACAGACGAACTCCTCCCTGCACGTACACATTAAACACACAGTCACGATCACTGCACATGAGAGTTGTTGTGTTATTAACACAGAGGGAGAGACCAAGACAGATTTTAACAGAAAATTTCTCTTTCAGCTACACCAGGATATGGTAATAAGAGCCAAAGAAAGAGAGGAGAGGAGAGCCCTAAAATTCACTCTCTTATTGTACATGTGACACTCCTTCTTAGGCTCTTTCACGTCACTGATGCATGAACATTGCCTGCATTGCTTGGAAGAATTTGATAGAACGGTTCATTGTCTGTTGGCTAGAGTCTAGTGACAGACAAATAAACAACATTCTTTGAATGCAGTTGTAAGTTGAAAAGCCAAGCACACAAAAGTTAGGAAAGCTAAAGTTAATGCTGATGGTGCAATCTTTAATTTAGTGCCCTTGTGCATGTGCATTGTGATACAGTCTTTAATTACATGATCGAATACTATCTTTTCCAGAGGACCCCTGCCTCATTCAGTGCACTGGGTGGATGGGCTCACAGGATAAGAGGCATCTGTTCAATATTTGTTTTTATCCTCATCTCTCAGTGTGTGGTCCCTGCTTCACTCACTGCACACCAACCAAACCCTGGACCGAACACAGAATTATTAATTTCCTTGCGAACTCTATGGTGCTGACTGCTGTATCACCCAAGCCTCACAAACAATAATGAATTATCTGCACAACATTCCTGTGAAATGGTGAGGGTTTTTAAAGCAGGGGAACTGACTGGGAAATTTAAAGCCAAAATCCACAAGTGACCATAAACTTCAGGTCCCTCAGGGATCAGGCACCCTTAATTTTTCAGCACACTGGGCATTTTTGTAGCCTGTCTACATTCAAAGCAGGGCACAGAAATTAAACAGCCCAATGAGCCCAGTGGGTAAATATAGAGGGAAACAAACAGAAAGGCCACCGAGAGCCAGTGGCCCTGCCAGGCTGCCGGAGGTGCTAAGCAACCACAACTTCTAATGGAGCGGTTCCCAAAGAGTGGGTCACGACCTCTGCACGGCGATCCCTACTGTGCAGAAGACGCCATTTTGCTCTGCACAGAGTGACCTCGCATGTACAATGTGTGTGAGGGCACTATTCAGGGAGGATGCTATTTTCCTCTACAAAATGGCATCCTCTGCACAGCATGAGCTCACATACACCATACGCATGAGGTCACAGGGTGCAGAGGATGCCTTCTAAACAGCAAAATGGCATCCTCCTTGCGGTGTGACCTCACATTCCGGTGCATGCAAGGTCACACTGTGTGGAGAACACCATTTCGCTCTTCAAAATGGCATCCTCCGTGCTGTCTGGGGTCCCAGGTGGAAATATGCATTAAAATGGGGTTGTGCCAGCAACAAGTTTGGGAACCCCTGTTCTAATGAAGAAAAGGAGGACTTGTGGCACCTTAGAAACTAATCAATTTATTTGAGCATAAGCTTTCATGAGCTACAGCTCACTTCATCGGATGCATCAAATAAATTTATGCTCAAATAAATTGGTTAGTCTCTAAGGTGCCACAAGTACTCCTTTTCTTTTTGCGAATACAGACTAACACGGCTGCTCCTCTGAAACCTGTTCTAAGGAGTTCGGGTGAGAGCTCAACACTTCTGAAAACCAGGGCCCAGCTGCTTCAAGCTGGGCACCTGGTCATGCAGAATGCTCCATTAGTGACCACCTGTGCAAGGGGTTTGAAGCTGGGAATGGGCGACAGGGGATGGATCACTTGATGATTCCCTGTTCTGGTCATTTCCTCTGGGGCACCTGGCACTGGCCATTGTCAGAAGACAGGACACTGGGCTAGATGGACCTTTGGTCTGACCCAGTCTGGCCGCTCTTATGAATGAGTCTGAAGTTTGGTTTAAGAGGTCTGAAGATCAAATGACATTTTCAAGGTTCTTCCATCCCTAAACCCAACATCCTGCTAGCGCTATTTTCCTTACGAGCTCATCTGTTTTCCTTTGGGACAAAATTCCAATTCTGCTTACCTCAGATAGGACAAAAGTAAGGGCATTTGATCTTGCCCACTGTTCATCTGCAAAGCCCTGCTGGCGAGAAAAATCTTTTTGGTTGTGCTCCAGTGTCTTCTACAGAAATGCTCTTAAGAATACTAATGAACAGAAAGCAATTCACAGTGCCTTCAGTGGTGCAGGAACCCTGTAGCTTCTCACTCTCCTCCATCTACCAATATCTCACAGTCAACATCTCTGACACCTTTCACAAAGCAGCAATGCAGGCCAGATGGACTTGTAAGCAACTAAGATTTATGTAACATCTCAGCTAGTCTCTCTGTTCCATATCTCAGATTCTTACTCTAAGGGCTTGTCTTCACTACGGAGCTAAATTGGCGCTGCTGCAACCGATGCAGGTCTAGTGAAGACACGCTCAATTAATGGGAGAGCAGTCTCCCATCAATTTCTGTACTCCACCCTAACAAGAGACAGAAGCAGTGCTGGTGGGAAAGCGTCCCCCGTAAACAGCGTACTGTGGACCCCGTGGTAAGTAGATCCAAGCTACGTCAACTTGAGTTACGCTGCTAACATAACTCAAATTGTGTAGCTTAAATCGACCAGCAGCTGTAGTGAAGACAAGCCCTGACTGTGAGCTTTCAAACATGATCAACAAGAAGTACAAGAAACCAGTTTGCAAAAACACACAAAAAAGATAAGCCATGCATACATCTCTGCCATTCAAGAATATTTAAACACAGGGTTTGAAAAACAGATCCAATCTCATCAGCTTTTCTGTTTGTTGAGACAATACCTGAATGTGCCTCAGAACCTCACCCTCCCACTCCTGTAACAGACCCCTAACCTCTGGCTGAGTTACTGAAGTCCTCGAGCCATGGTTTAAAGACTTCAAGTTACAGAGAATCCACCATTTCCACTAGCTTAAGCCTGCAAGTGCCCCGCACCCCAGGCCTTGTTGTCTCATTTTCTCATTCACGGAGATAGGAATAAAAGTATTTTCCTGGAGTATCTCATGGGGATGTTCCAAAATGTTTGTAAACAACTTTAAAGATTAAAAGTGCCAAATGCAATAAACACTCAACCACAGATACTCAAACGGAGTACTTTTTGTTACTTCTCTGAACAAGGCTGAGACTAATACCTTACATAATCCCTTAAATCAAAAGCTTTTACACCCTTTTCCTAGACACTCCACTATCGCATCAGGTCAGTGATCAACTATAAAGTAAACAAACAAAAACGAGGCGTCCTTGTGGCACCTTAGAGACTAACAAATTTATTTGGGCATAAGCTTTCGTGGGCTAAAACCCCCTTCAGTCACTATAGACCTCCCAGTGTCGCCCAATCACCCTGGATTGTCTTTCCTGCTTCTCCCAGAATGTGACAAGAGTTCTCCTGAGAGCTCATAACCCAGCATTTAAACAGCAGCAGGCAGGTAAAAACACATAAACAAGGAGCAGGGTGTTGGCCACAGAATGGAGTCTCTGGTGGCCACCAACGTAACTGGTGCCAACAGGAACCATGTGTAGGGATGAAGGGAAAAGCATGTTTCAAGGAGAGATTGAAGTGAGGATGGGGCGGCTTTACAAGTTCTGATGGACAGGGACAGGAGAAAGCAGAGGTGCCTGCAGGAAAATGAGGGGATCAAGGTCAGTGTTATGAGAAGAGCAGAGGTTGGACTTGCAAGGAAGGGCATGGCTGAATGTTGCAGGGAAGACCAGGCATTTGAGCCTGACTTGAAGGAGGCGGGACGTGGAGGAGAGAGGTGATCACACGCAGGCCACGGACCTGGGCCGAGCAGCAGCCTTTGGGAAGGAGATGAGATGGCCAGAGCGGAGAAGGCTCCAGCAAGGAGGACAGGCCACGAACAGGCCAGACAACGGACAGCGAAGGACACGGGCTGAGGCAGGCGCAGGGGGCTCCCACGTGGTGGCAGGACGTGAGGCCAGGCCCAGCAGCCGACACCTGGGTCTCCCGCTGCAGGGTGCTGGGACACAAAGGCTGCCTTGCTGCCAGCGTGGGCGCTGCCAGGCCCCACAGCTCACATGGGCTGTCGGCAAAGGGCTGCATGTGCCAGAGACCCCGCAGGGGCCCAGAGACCCAACCCCCCCCCCGGCATGGGGCAGCCCGCCCCGCCCCCATGGCGCAGCCCGCCCCGACCCCCACCCCCGCCGGCATGGGGCAGCCCGTCCCTCCCCAACCCAACCCAACCCCCCCCCGGCATGGGGCAGCCCGACCCGCTCCCCCCAACCCCAACCCCTGCCCCCATGGCGCAGCCCGCCCCTCCCCGACCCCCACCCCCTCCCTGGGCCCCCCCCCCCCCACCCCCACCCGGCATGGGGGCACCCCGCTCCCCCGACCCCAACCCCTGCCCCCATGGCGCAGCCCGCCCCGCCCCTCCCCGACCCCCCACCCCCGCCGGCATGGGGCACCCATCCCCCCCCCCCCGGCAGCCCGTCCCTCCCCAACCCAACCCCCCCCCAGGGGCAGCCCACCCCTTCCCCCCCCCCCCCCCCCCCCCCCCATGGGGCAGCCCGCCCCGCCTCCCCCCGACCCCCACCCCCGCCCGCCATGGCGCAGCCCGTCCCTCCCCACCCCCCAACCCCCACCCGCCATGGCACCCCCCCCCCCCCCGGCATGGGCAGCCCGCCCTCCCCCCCCCGGCATGGGGCAGCCCGTCCCTCCCCTCCCCGACCCAACCCCCCCCCGGCATGGCGCAGCCTCCCCCCCGGCAGGGGCAGCCCGCCCCTCCCCACCCCGCATGGTGCAGCCCGCCCCGCCTCTCCCCGACCCCCGCCGGCATGGGGCAGCCCGCCCCTCCCTGACCCCCACCCCCGCTGGCACCCCCCAGTCCGCTGCCATGGTACAGCCCGCCCCCCCAGCAGAGCACATGGCACGGCCACGCACTAGTACCTCCTCCCGCTCCTCATGCGGGATGGTACCGCCCGTCAGGCTCTGCCCCCCTCCCCGCACACGAGATGGTATCGCCCGGTGCACCCCTTTTACCTTTCCGGGCTCCGCCCTCCAGCCGCTGGTCCCGCCCGCTCCATCGTGGCCGCCCGGCTCCGGGTCCCGCGGGCCCCTCGGCCTCGGGGCCGCCTGGTGCAGCCTCGGACGCTTCGCTTTCCCCACCATGGCCGGGCTGCCGGGGCTCGGCGCGTGTGCGGCGGCTATGGCCCTCCCCGGAACGCGGCGCCGCACAGAGCGTTCCGCCCCCCCCAAGGGCCGGGCGGGGCCCGGGTGCTCCCGCCTGGCGATGGGCTGGAGCCGGTCCCGGGTCGGACCCGAGCGGCCCGGCCTGGGGCGCTGGGTGTTGCCCGCTTCCAGCTTTGCGGGCCGCGCCCGGGCTGGAGCCGCTGCGCAGAACAGCGCCAGCCGCTGTTAACTCTGAAGCCTAATGGTGCCAGGTGAAATGCCAGTGACTGATTGGCGGCTGCAGGTTGTAGCCGCTCTCCGGAGAGGTGCCAGGGCAGGCTGCTGCGGGGAGCTGGTTGCTGGCAAGGATGGTGGGGCGGAGAAAATGCAGCCCCGTTCCCATAAAATAATTCCTGCCTATATCCCCCACCCCCAGGGAAAAACTCCTTCCTGAGCCTAAACACGTTGATCACAGGGGCCCTGGGCCAGGAGCCTCACAGCAATTAAACCAACACCAGGTATAGACCAACCTGGTGCTCCCGGAGTAGGGGGAGGCAGAAATAACCTTATAGAATTAGACAAAATACACTTACTGCTAACAGAGAAAAAGCTACATTTCTTTTTTTAGAAACATATTTCTGTGCTCTTTCTCTCTCCAGGGAATTGGGAAAGCAGAAACACTTATACAGCTGTCAAATCAAAACACATTTGTTCTTAGTTTGCCCACCCCCGGCGAATTTACTTGGCAGCTTGTTGTTTCATAGATAAAGATGGAATATGCAGCACCAATGGTAAGAGATGTGATGGAATGAGCCTCTGTGAAATACCTGTTTTTCTCTCCAATTTAGACCTTCGTTCAGGGGTCCATTTTCAGTGAATCTTAGGACTCTCACCAAAAATACTTTCCCCCATTAATGTTAGTGCAAGTTATCTCCCTTCCCCTTATGAAGAGAGGGGCATTTTGTTTTAGCTGTTGACAAATAAGAGTGAACACTTAGCCAGAAGGCTGTAAGGGTTTGTTCTACTGCAATCTAAGCATGTGTTTCAGGGTGTAATGAACCAATTTACAGAACAGACAAAAGGCATAAATACCCAGCCCACTGGATATCTGTATCTAGGTATGTGTGAGGGTGAAATGAACAGCTTCTTATCTTCCCCCTCCGGAACTAGGGGATGCAACCTCACAAAATATATTTCTTCTGCTTTTCTTTGGGTCTTCCACTGCCAAGTATCTGCCGGCCTATCTCCCCACAGCAGGACTGCATGTAACACCTGATGATGACTCCCTCTGCTGGATCTGCACCAGGGTGGATAAAAATCAATGATCTAAAGAAAATTTAAAAAAAACAAAACAGATTTTTTTGATAAAATGCTTTGAGGAGAAAAGTTAAAGATAGTTTTAATTAAGACACATTATAGCTCAAAGATATCTCATGGAATAAGAAAAGGAGTACTTGTGGCACCTTAGAGACTAACCAATTTATTTGAGCATGAGCTTTCGTGAGCTACAGCTCACTTAATCATAGAATCATAGAATATAAGGGTTGGAAGGGACCCCAGAAGGTCATCTAGTCCAACCCCCTGCTCGAAGCAGGACCAATTCCCAGTTAAATCATCCCAGCCAGGGCTTTGTCAAGCCTGACCTTAAAAACCTCTAAGGAAGGAGATTCTACCACCTCCCTAGGTAATGCATTCCAGTGTTTCACCACCCTCTTAGTGAAAAAGTTTTTCCTAATATCCAATCTAAACCTCCCCCACTGCAGCTTGAGACCATTACTCCTCGTTCTGTCATCTGATACCATTGAGAACAGTCTAGAGCCATCCTCTTTGGAACCCCCTTTCAGGTAGTTGAAAGCAGCTATCAAATCCCCCCTCATTCTTCTCTTCTGCAGGCTAAACAATCCCAGCTCCCTCAGCCTCTCCTCATAAGTCATGTGTTCCAAACCCCTAATCATTTTTGTTGCCCTTCGCTGGACTCTCTCCAATTTATCCACATCCTTCTTGAAGTGTGGGGCCCAAAACTGGACACAGTACTCCAGATGAGGCCTCACCAATGTCGAATAGAGGGGAACGATCACGTCCCTCGATCTGCTGGCTATGCCCCTACTTATACATCCCAAAATGCCATTGGCCTTCTTGGCAACAAGGGCACACTGCTGACTCATATCCAGCTTCTCGTCCACTGTCACCCCTAGGTCCTTTTCCGCAGAACTGCTGCCTAGCCATTCGGTCCCTAGTCTGTAGCTGTGCATTGGGTTCTTCCGTCCTAAGTGCAGGACCCTGCACTTATCCTTATTGAACCTCATCAGATTTCTTTTGGCCCAATCCTCCAATTTGTCTAGGTCCTTCTGTATCCTATCCCTCCCCTCCAGCGTATCTACCACTCCTCCCAGTTTAGTATCATCCGCAAATTTGCTGAGAGTGCAATCCACACCATCCTCCAGATCATTTATGAAGATATTGAACAAAACCGGCCCCAGGACCGACCTTTGGGGCACTCCACTTGATACCGGCTGCCAACTAGACATGGAGCCATTGATCACTACCCGTTGAGCCCGACAATCTAGCCAGCTTTCTACCCACCTTGTAGTGCATTCATCCAGCCCATACTTCCTTAACTTGCTGACAAGAATGCTGTGGGAGACCGTGTCAAAAGCTTTGCTAAAGTCAAGAAACAATACATCCACTGCTTTCCCTTCATCCACAGAACCAGTAATCTCATCATAGAAGGCGATTAGATTAGTCAGGCATGACCTTCCCTTGGTGAATCCATGCTGGCTGTTCCTGATCACTTTCCTCTCATGCAAGTGCTTCAGGATTGATTCTTTGAGGACCTGCTCCATGATTTTTCCGGGGACTGAAGTGAGGCTGACTGGCCTGTAGTTCCCAGGATCCTCCTTCTTCCCTTTTTTAAAGATTGGCACTACATTAGCCTTTTTCCAGTCATCCGGGACTTCCCCGGTTCGCCACGAGTTTTCAAAGATAATGGCCAATGGCTCTGCAATCACAGCCACCAATTCCTTTAGCACTCTCGGATGCAACTCGTCCGGCCCCATGGACTTGTGCACGTCCAGCTTTTCTAAATAGTCCCTAACCACCTCTATCTCCACAGAGGGCTGTCCATCTCTTCCCCATTTTGTGATGCCCAGCGTAGCAGTCTGGGAGCTGACCTTGTTAGTGAAAACAGAGGCAAAAAAAGCATTGAGTACATTAGCTTTTTCCACATCCTCTGTCACTAGTTTGCCTCCCTCATTCAGTAAGGGGCCCACACATTCCTTGGCTTTCTTCTTGTTGCCAACATACCTGAAGAAACCCTTCTTGTTACTCTTGACATCTCTGGCTAGCTGCAGCCATCAGATGCATCTTCATCAGATGCATACCGTGGAAACTGTAGCAGACTTTATATATACACAGAGAATATGAAACAATACCTCCTCCCACCCCACTGTCCTGCTGGTAATAGCTTATCTAAAGTGATCATCAGGTGGGCCATTTCCAGCACAAATCCAGGTTTTCTCACCCTCCACCCCCCCACACAAATTCACTCTCCTGCTGGTGCTAGCCCATCCAAAGTGACAACTCTTTACATAATCAAGTCGGGCTATTTCCTGCACAAATCCAGGTTTTCTCACATCCCGCCCACCCCCATACACACACAAACTCACTCTCCTGCTGGTAATAGCTCATCCAAACTGACCACTCTCCAAGTTTAAATCCAAGTTAAACCAGAACATCTGGGGGGGGGGGGGGGGGGTAGAAAAAAACAAGAGGAAACAGGCTACCTTGCATAATGACTTAGCCACTCCCAGTCTCTATTTAAGCCTAAATTAATAGTATCCAATTTGCAAATGAATTCCAATTCAGCAATTTCTCGCTGGAGTCTGGATTTGAAGTTTTTTTGTTTTAAGATAGCGACCTTCATGTCTGTGATTGCGTGACCAGAGAGATTGAAGTGTTCTCCGACTGGTTTATGAATGTTATAATTCTTGACATCTGATTTGTGTCCATTTATTCTTTTACGTAGAGACTGTCCAGTTTGACCAATGTACATGGCAGAGGGGCATTGCTGGCACATGATGGCATATATCACATTGGTGGATGTGCAGGTGAATGAGCCTCTGATAGTGTGGCTGATGTTATTAGGCCCTGTGATGGTGTCCCCTGAATAGATATGTGGGCACAATTGGCAACGGGCTTTGTTGCAAGGATAAGTTCCTGGGTTAGTGGTTCTGTTGTGTGGTATGTGGTTGTTGGTGAGTATTTGCTTCAGGTTGCAGGGCTGTCTGTAGGCAAGGACTGGCCTGTCTCCCAAGACTTGTGAGACTGTTGGGTCATCCTTCAGGATAGGTTGTAGATCCTTAATAATGCGTTGGAGGGGTTTTAGTTGGGGGCTGAAGGTGACCGCTAGTGGCGTTCTGTTATTTTCTTTGTTAGGCCTGTCCTGTAGTAGGTAACTTCTGGGAACTCTTCTGGCTCTATCAATCTGTTTCTTTACTTCTGCAGGTGGGTATTGTAGTTGTAAGAAAGCTTGACAGAGATCTTGTAGGTGTTTGTCTCTGTCTGAGGGGTTGGAGCAAATGCGGTTGTATCGCAGAGCTTGGCTGTAGACGATGGATCGTGTGGTGTGGTCAGGGTGAAAGCTGGAGGCATGTAGGTAGGAATAGCGGTCAGTAGGTTTGCGGTATAGGGTGGTGTTTATGTGGCCATTGTTTATTAGCACTGTAGTGTCCAGGAAGTGGATTTGTGCTGGAAATGGCCCACCTGATGATCACTTTAGATAAGCTATTACCAGCAGGACAGTGGGGTGGGAGGAGGTATTGTTTCATATTCTCTGTGTATATATAAAGTCTGCTACACTTTCCACAGTATGCATCTGATGAAGTGAGCTGTAGCTCACGAAAGCTCATGCTCAAATAAATTGGTTAGTCTCTAAGGTGCCACAAGTACTCCTTTTCTTTTTGCGAATACAGACTAACACGGCTGTTACTCTGAAACCTGTCATCATGGAATAGGGATTATAAATTCTAATTCTATAGTATGAGACA